TATGGGATCATTGCGTCAGAACAGCCAGTATCTGGAAGACAGCGGCACCCAGAGGTCCAGCTTGGTATCTATCTCAATTTCTGAAATTCCTCAGGAGAGATAATTTTTCTTCATTTTCGGATCTTTTAGAATACCACCTGCTTTAATATGAAGAGTATAGAACGTATTTTCTTTTCTTAGCAAAATACTAATAAGATGGGGGGAGAAGGGGGAGGGCAAAAATATTGATAAGCCGGTCTAAGTAACTTAATCTATTGAAGTTCAACTTAAAGATCCTTATGGAATTTTTCCTGGATATTTTTTTTCCAGTGTTGGGGGTGAAACCCAGGACCTCACTCATACCCAGACAATCTCTGTACACCCACATCCTGCCCTTGGCATTCCTTTTTGAAGATGATGCACTGCTGATTTTTTTTTCTTAACAAACAGAAAAGGCTACTTGTCGTACATTGTAGCACATACATGTAATCCCAGCACCCAGGAGGCAAGACATAGGAGAATCACCACAAGCTCGAGGTTCCAGAGAGTTCCAGACCAGCCAGGGTGACATAGGGAGGGCATGTATCAACAAACAATTTCTTTTTACTACAGAAATTATCAACTATAAAAGGATACATCATCAAAAAATATATTGTGAGGCTGAGGAGATGGCTCAGTGGGTAAGAGTGCTAGCCATGCAAACCTGAGAACCAGAGTTCAAATCCCCAGCATTCAAGTAAAAAGCTGGGGCCACTGATGGCTTCTGTAACCCCAGCATTGTGGGAGGCAGAGAAAGGAGGATCACTGAGGCTTGCTGTCTGCCAGCCTGGCTCTAGATTCAGTGACAGACCGCATCTCAAGGGACTAGGGTGCAAAGTGATATAGTAGGACACCTTACGTCTGCCTCTGGCCTATGCATGCATGCACATGTGCACAAGTACACACACACACACACACACACACACACACACACACTGAATAAAATAATGTGAAAGAAATTCTTGTAAATTCGACTACACAAACTTTCATTATAAGGGGCTGGAGAGATGGGTCAGAGGTTATGAGCAGTCACTATTCTTCTAGAGGAACTGGGTTCCATTCTCACCTGTCTGTAACTACAGTTCCAGGGGACCCAATGACCTTTTTCTGGCTTCCACAGGCATGCATGTGGTGCACATACATGCAGGCAAAACATAAACAATTTTAATTTCATTATAAATTGAAAACACTGACAAAACTAAATAACAAATAATTACACTAATTTAAAACTTTACCTTTGATCGCTATCCCTACCTTTTCAATAATGAAAAGGAAATTATAGATTAGGGTGGGTCCTTTTGGTGGCAGCCTAGATAAAAGTACCTGGAAAAGGAAACTTTGCATTTGCCTGCTGGCCTTCACTCTCACTGGCTAGTTTATCAAGACTGTTACTGTTGCTTTGGCATTCCTTTGCCAATATTAGGACCAACTTCTTCAGGCTTTCAACATAGACTGATGACCAGAAGCTTTCCAGAAATCCTCTAGGCCTTCAGTGCTTCTGAGAGATCCAGCCTCTTGGACTGAATGACTACCAGATTCTTGGTCTCTCCAGTGTGAGACAGCCATTTTTGAACTACCCAGACCATATCATGTAAGCCAATCTAATAATTCCCCATTTACATATATATTCATACATATTATATGTTCATCCTATAAATTCTGTTCCTTTAGAGAATGCTGACTAATACAGGCAGTTTATCAATCTTGATATTTTGACCTAGATAATTCTCTAATGTGTTTGTGTGTGTGTGGGAGGCTGTTTTGTGCCTTGTAGGAAGTTTAGCATTATCTTTGGCCTCTTCCACTAGATGTCAGGAGACTCTACTTCCACAATTGTGTTAACCAAAATTTTCTCTGGACATTACCAAATGTCACCGTCTTCCAACTACTTAGAGAAGCACAGGTTTACGGTATTTACTGTTGAGTGTCGAGCTAGGGATAAATCCAATCAAATCAAAAGACAGGCTTTCCCCTGGGTTCGATCCCCAATACCACAATAAATATAAATAAACACACAAATAAGCAAATAAATAAGACCTTGAAAGAGCCACTCTTGTTATGACAATGGTGGGAGTTCTCCACTTACTGTTGGAAGGTATCTTGTGGACATAGTCTTTGGAAGTTTACAAGCACAGAGAGCAGAGCTGAAAGAACAACTGAAAAAGCACAGATACATGCTTATTCTTCAAAATGAGAAGAAAAAAACAATTTGCATTAGGTCATGATTCTGGCATGTAAAGAGGCAATTGTACTTCAAAATGTCCACACAGGAACACAAATACACACAATCTAAACAATAACTATTTAAGAACTAAATGTAAAAAACAATGTAAAGTATGTCACTAAAAAAATAATTTGTATACTGATTGCATTTTGAACTTGGATTTTAGGTATATTCATTGCTTATTGATATTAACTTCACTTATTTTTATCATTTTAATGTGGCTATTAGGTAATAGTTACATAATTTTTGTGGTGTTAAAACCCATGGCATTGCAAATACTAGGAAGTACTCTATCACTGAGAAAACCCTCCCAGCTCCTAAAAATTTTAAGTCATATCTATAGCTCCCATCTGTGACCACATTATATTTTTATTGGAAAGACCTGCTCGATTAGTTTTTCCTTTTTAAAAAAATTTATTATTTTTATTTTACGTATATACATGTATTGCCTGCATGTAGGTAAATGCACCTGTATCATGAAATGCCGGTGGCAGAGGTCAGAAGAGGCTGTCGGATCCCCTGGAACTGGAGTTATGGACAGTTGTTAGCTGCCATGTGGGTGCTGGGATTTGAACCTGGGTCTGCAAGAACAACCAGTGTTTTTAACCACTGAGCAATTATTTTTATTTTACGTATATACATGTATTGCCTGCATGTAGGTAAATGCACCTGTATCATGAAATGCCGGTGGCAGAGGTCAGAAGAGGCTGTCGGATCCCCTGGAACTGGAGTTATGGACAGTTGTTAGCTGCCATGTGGGTGCTGGAATTTGAACCTGGGTCTGCAAGAACAACCAGTGCTTTTAACCACTGAGCCATCTTTCCAGCCCCAGATTAGTTTTTCTTTTGAGACAGGGTCTCCCTTTGCCTTAGCTGGCCTGGTACTTGCTATGTAGAACAGGTTGGCCTCTAACTCACAGATTTACTTGTCTCGGACTCCCAAGCACTGGGATTAAAGGTGTGAGCTACCACACCCAGCAACTACACTTTTTTTTTTGATAAATAGATACCTGAATTGTTTAAAGTAGTGCAGGTTAGGTTTTGAATTTTTCTAAAGAAAGCAATTTACAGGGTGTAAGAACTGCTATTTTTAGTTAACTTGCTTTTAATCTTTAAAATATATGGTGCTGGGGGCTGGAGAGATGGCTCAGCGGTTAAGAACAGTGGCTTTTCTTGCAGGAGACCCGGGTTCAATTCCCAGCAACCACATGGTGGCTAACAACTATCCATAACTCCAGTTTGAGGGGAATCCAGTGCTCTCCTCTGACCTCCGAGGGCATTGCATGACACGGTGCACTTACATACATGCAGGCAATACACTCATACACACAAAATAAAAGTAAATAAAATATTTAAAATAAAATATATGGTGCTTTAGCTGCATATATGCTTTGACTATGTTTGCTATTTTTCTCATTTCTAAAATTTTCAAATTACAAAACAGGCAGACTTTCTCTCATTACTCATAATGTGTTTAACCTCAAAAGTATAAATATCCTTTTAAGGAATTTGAAAGTTTAATAAAGGTAATTTTCAACCAATACAGGATTGACAGTTTATTATTCTCTTAAGTCATAGAAACCAAGCCTTGGAAAGCTTATTACCACACTAGGGAATTAGTAGCTCTCTCCAAATCTTTGGTTCTCTGGTATTGCAAATGTTGGACAGAACAACCACACAACTGTGATTCTTTTGTGAATTCAAAGTTTTTTTGTATAACGAGTAGCTTTCTAGAAGGATACTTTGGGTTTTCAAGACATTACAATAATGGTAATGTGGTAAAGTTCTTAGTTTTAGGATCAATATAATTCCCAATAAAGAACAGCATTTAAAAATGTATTAAACTCAAAAGCAGATAATGAGGCAGATGCTCTAGGAAAACTTTAAACAAGCCTTTTAATCATCCCTGACAGTTTAACTAAAATACAGCAGATTTTGGCAGAATGTCATGCATTAATTTCAAGTTACTTTTTGTGACAAGAATATTTATGTATTATAAAACTCACAGGGAATGAAAATACAGGTAGTACTTGTATTATTTCCATGTATGAGCATGAGCTTATGGTTTCTATAGTTAAGTACTTTTCAGAGGTTAACATGTTAAATTCTTATCTGTAAAATAAGCATAATTAAGAGAGCGCTGAAGAAATTTCATTTTCAAAAAAAGAGGAAACATTATATTACAAATTATAGATGAATCACCTAGCATTATTTAACACATCAAGAGAAATCATGTACCTGAAAGGGCATCGTTTTCCTGAAATTAGCATAAAAATCAAATGAGCCCAGGATATTTTAATTTCCTCTCATGATAAAGTATCACTGTATTCTTAAAGCATATTCACACATACGGTGTTAGATTTTAGCTGCTGTGATGAAATATCTGACATGACATAATGAGTTCAAAAGCTGTGCTGGACTACAGATATCCTGCATCAAAACTTTTTTTTTTTTAAAGGCTTCAATTACACACTAATTTTAATCAGACCGTTTATCGAAAAAAAAAGTCTGTCCTAAATGAACCTGTGCCACCAGAATGTTAGATATGCTGTACCAATCAAGAATCACCTCAGGTCCTTGGAATTCCTCCAAAATACAAATAAACCCAAAGGCTTGGTTCCTATCAAGATATTTTCCTAATTAACACAATATAGACTTAACAACATACAGTATGCAGCAATCCTGCACTTTGTGATTAATGACAAAAGATTGTAGCGTAAGCATTGTAACTTCAGTCAAGTTCTCACGGAAGGACGACACAACGCGGGACAATACGAGATTGCGCCTGCGCGCGCTGGTGCAGGCGGTACTTCCGCCAGTGCTGGCTGTCAGTCACAGCGGTATCCGGTTCTGCTGCGTTACGTAGCGCTTTATCGTCGCTCGGTTTCTGCGGGCTGGGAGTCGGGCTCCCAAGTCGGGCGCCTGGAGTGGAGGGTCTTAGTCAGGCTTCGAGCTGCTGCCCGAGCCCTTCCATAGGCAGCCGGAAGAACGGAGAAACCGAAAGGGAGTCGCGTGGCTCGGCTGCTCCGCACCAAGTTACCGCGCTTGGCTCGGCCGCTTTGCTCCGCCCGGCTTTCTCTTTCGTTTTCCTCCGGCGGGGAAAAGCTGAATTTATCTTTGTCTGTGGACTGTAAGTACCTGAGACAAAGAGACGTCACAGCCCCCTCCCCCGCATTTTAATTATCCCGTTGGAGGTAATTTGTGGATTAGGACAGTCTGCCAGATTTACGTGTTTAAAATCACTCCGCAGGCGCCATTTCCTTTGTTTGCTGACTAGTACTTTCTACACTGTGTGGCAGCGGTGCCTAGCGGCTCCAACTGGGTATTGTATCTAGTAGATTTAACATGGACTATTGCCTGCGTGTTCAGAGTCTGAAGACAGGAGCAGACGCTTGCTGGTGTACTGCTTAAGTGCTGTTTTCTTTGCAACTTCGTAATTTAAGATTTCAATTAGTAACAGCGCTCTTTTAACTGTTTTAGGAGCTGGAACTTGTCCGTGCAAGAAGTGGTTTTTGGAGAAGTGAGTCACAAGGAATTAAAGATGAGTAAGAGCAAAGATGATGCCCCTCATGAACTAGAAAGCCAGTTTATCTTACGCCTGCCCCCAGAGTATGCCTCTACTGTGAGGAGGGCAGTGCAGTCTGGACATGTCAATCTGAAAGACAGACTGACCATTGAGTTACACCCTGATGGGCGCCATGGAATTGTCAGAGTGGATCGAGTTCCATTGGCCTCAAAATTGGTAGACCTTCCCTGTGTTATGGAAAGCTTGAAAACCATTGATAAGAAAACCTTTTACAAGACAGCAGACATCTGTCAGATGCTTGTGTCCACAGTTGATGGTGATCTTTACCCTCCTGTGGAAGAACCTGTTGCCCCTGCTGATCCCAAAGCAAGCAAGAAGAAAGATAAGGACAAAGAGAAAAAATTTGTCTGGAACCACGGAATTACTCTGCCTCTAAAAAATGTCAGAAAGAGAAGGTTCCGGAAAACAGCAAAGAAGAAGTATATCGAGTCTCCAGATGTGGAAAAAGAAGTGAAGCGGTTGCTGAGTACAGATGCAGAAGCTGTCAGTACCCGTTGGGAAATAATTGCTGAAGATGAAACAAAGGAGGCAGAAAATCAAGGCCTTGATATCTCATCTCCAGGAATGTCGGGCCATAGGCAGGGCCATGACTCATTAGAACATGATGAGCTCCGAGAGATATTCAATGACCTCAGCAGCAGCAGTGAAGATGAAGATGAGACACAGCATCAAGATGAAGAAGATGTGAACATCATTGACACTGAGGAAGATCTGGAGAGACAGCTACAAGACAAGCTAAATGAATCAGATGAGCAGCACCAAGAAAATGAAGGAACCAATCAATTGGTTATGGGGATTCAGAAACAGATTGATAACATGAAAGGCAAGCTCCAAGAGACCCAGGACAGGGCAAAACGCCAGGAAGATCTCATCATGAAAGTAGAAAACCTGGCTCTTAAGAATAGGTTTCAAGCTGTGCTAGATGAACTCAAACAAAAGGAAGACCGGGAGAAGGAACAGCTTAGCTCTTTACAAGAAGAGCTAGAATCACTCCTAGAGAAGTGATAATGTTGATGCTTCATTTCATCCTCAGACTGGTCAGCATTGGAAAAAATTGTTTTCATCACTTGGACTGGCAGTAGTTTTTATTCCATATACTGTTAGAAGTTGAGTTATGTTGGTTGTTTTCAAAACCACTGTGCTGGGTTTTCATTCTTTACGAAGTAGGATTGCATAGGCAGAATAATTGCTGTAGGAAAGTTATAGAATTAGTGAAATGATCAATTCCATTTTAATCACTTCACTGCAGGGCTGTGTTACTATTTGTCTATTTTCCAGAAACTTCTGTTTTGTGGTGCTAAGATCAGTAAGAAGCTAGTTTGGAGCTAGTGGAGTTAATGTATGTTTTTTTTTATACAGTAGCTACTGTAGGGGCAAATTCCTATATGTTGTTTCTAACACAATAAAAACAACTAATTTTCACTTTATCAAGTTTATCTTGTTCTTCCATGGATAGAGTTGGGGTGGGTACTTGGAGTTTAATGACTAACAGTGTGATCATGTTTGTGTAGATAAAGCTTTCTGTTTTGGGGGGCTTTCAGAAACAGGAACACTACAGGGGTAAAGAATTGGAGAAATGTCATCTTTGTATTATATCAAGGTTCAAGTCTGCCTGCTCCATTTGGCAATGTGAGAACATTGGGTCCAGAGCCTTCTTAAAGTATCCTAATTTTTTACTGAAGGCCTGTTTGTACCTTTTAATCAGCACTAAGCTTATGTGTGAAATACTGGAAACAGCAAAAACAACGATTATCAAATAGAATTGCATCCCATTCCATTGATTGGGATTAAGATTGTATTCCTGGGGCTGGAGAGATGGCTCAGCAGTAAAGAGTACTGACTGCTCTTGCAGGGGACCTGGCTTCGATTCCCAGCACCCACATGGCAGCTATGAACCATCCTTAACTCCAGTTCCAGAGGATCCGAAGCCCTCTTCTGACGTCCATGGCATTGCATGACAGGGGTGCACTCACATACATGCAGACAATACACTCATACACATAAAATATATGTTTCTTAAAAAAGATTGTATTCCTAATTATTTTCAACTTAATTGCTGCAGCTATTTAATAGGCTGATTATTTCTGCATGCCATTTCATATTGTCCCTAAAGTCTGTACATGCGCTGGTATTTTAAATGTTCATAAATGTAATTTTCACATTCTCTGAAGTATTTAATGCTTCACACTTGAGAGCCTTTTTGGAAAAACTCAGATTGACAAGATACAGAATTGTAATTTCTGTCAGTTTATAAAACGTCATTTAAAAATTATTTTTGTAAAATAAAGTTCACTTAAATTTTCTATTTGACAGGGAACATGAGTGGTGAAATGTTTAAATCAGTTATCAAGACTGCAAGTCCATAATCATACTTCCTAGCATTAGGAGGCTTTAAATGGTAATTCTCACATTTATCTTTTTCTGAAGTATTTTCAGAAGCTGAAGACTGTAATACAGTTTAAGATTACTATCTGGCTTTAGAGGTTAGAAAATAAGTTTTCTTAACAAGGTGGGAATTGAAAAATTCTGCTCTAATAAGTATTTTACTACATTGAAAGAACTGTCACTGGAGAAGATACAATATTTGCCTTTACAGTGGATCACTTAAATAATTTTTACAAGCTCTGAATACTGGTGATATCTGAATTCCATCAATATTTTAAAGGAAGTGTGCTAGATGCACATCTTTTATTAACAAAATAGCCTACTGGTCTTGTGACTGCTGGCTCAGTTATTAGCTCTATCGCTATTCTCAAGTCTACATTTCTAAGCTTGATCTCCTGAGCTTCAGACTTAATATATTTAACTGTTTCCTGGAAACACAAGTGTCCCCCAGGCAACTCAATTGTGCATGCTCCAAGTGGAAGTCACCCTGTTCCTTTCCCTGAAAACCTTTTCTGTGTTGCTGCCAACTGCCTCAGCTGCTGAAGTCAGCCACCAGAACCTGCACTTTTGCGTCCCTTCACCACAGAGGGGAAACAAAACCTCTACCTCTCAAAAACTCTAAGTTACTGTGGTTCATACTACATCCATTGCCCTAGTTTAAGCCATTTTACCTCTTGCCTAGCAAATGACAATAAGTCATTATTGGTTTATCAGTGGCGTATAAACATTTTTTATTTAGTATTCAGTTAAGCTTTTTGACCAAAATGTAATCCCCATACTTAAAAATTCTTCATTTCTTTCAGGATTAAGTTTGTATTTCTTAAAAAGATGAGCGTTTACTTACCTTTTCAGTCTTCTACCACTCTTCTCTTACTATATGGTTAATCCACCCTGACTCTATTTACCTTTTATTCAAGAAATTTAACCCTCTTTCTGGGCCTGAGGGCTATTTAACAAACTTTTCCTAGAAAGACTCTCCATCTTTGGCTTAGTCTGAATTTTCAGCCTTTTAACCTAAATAATCACTCCTATCTAGGTTAAGCGACCCTATTATGGCCTTTGTCTTCTGTGTTTTCCTCTGCCATTCCTCCCACAAGTGCTGTCCAAAACAATGGATATGAACTAAGAAGCATGCAATGTCTATAATCTCATGTACTTTATGATCTTTTAAAATACTCTGCTTGTTACACATTCATCATGCTAAACTACCTGTTGCTCACACTGCCCCCTCACGAGATTATAAATCCACTGAAAGATGTGCTGCTTCTAAAGTAGGTTTATTTTTCTTAAAATACCTTTTCAGACACTGCAAGTTTACTAAAGAGATTTAATACCTCAAGCCTTATTAGTTGTGTGATCTTAGGCAACTTAATCTGTTGGCTTCAATTTTCTCAACTCTAAAAATGAAGATGATACCACCAACCTTACAGGGCTCTTGGATTGATTGTTGAATCATATGATGGACTTAGAACAATCAATACCTGAAATAAAGTAAGTAAACAATGAAATAAAAATATAAACTCATTTACTGGGGTAATGGACCATAAAGGGACTAAGAAATCTTTTGAATTAAATAGCGATTGGAATGACAAGTGCTTAAAGAAACAGCTATGTTTTTACTTATAACTCACTATGTAGCCCAGGTTGGCCTTGAACTCAATTCTTTCAGTTCAGTGCTGGTACTACAGGGATGCATAATCATGCTGGGCTCACGAAATAGCTGTTTTAAATATGGTTGGCTTAAAATTTAACCAAGTTTCTAAATCAAAGCTATGAGTTAGGAAGTTTTCTTCAAAATCTTCAGCATAAACAAATTGACTCAGCTTGTTTTTATAGCTTTATTGCTTGGGGCCAGTTTTGCATTAATACTAAAAAACACTACAGAGTGAATGGTTATCTGTTACATAAACTTTAAAAGTCAAAGACTTAAGATTGGGATACAAGTAAATGCCATATTATGAAAGACTCACTTTCTCATGGATCCCTTGGTTAATGAGTATGGTATGTAGCTGAAATCTTTATAAACAAATAATTTACAGCTTTTACAAAAAAGAAACCAACTTCATAGGATAATTTACAATAACATTAAGATGTATTATTCCATGTCTATTTGGAGTGTATACAACAGATACATTTCTGTAGTTTTATAATGCAAAAAACAGGATTTTGTTATAAACATTTTAGCCACTTCATTAAAAAGTATGAGTAACCTTATCAATATGTGTGGATCTGTATTTTTTCACAATAGAGATTTACCCCCCATGTTACCCAGTATTGATGGTTACTAGCTGTAGGACAAGAGGCATAAGATTCATTAAAATGTGGTCAGAGCTGCTGGATGTCCAAGATCCCTAGCCTCTGAAGCCAGGTAACTCTTTCCCATCTCACAGAGGATAGAGTTTATTTTTGTGTAAATTGAACCAAAGTAAGCCCATACTCTAAACAGGCTCTGATAGTCTGAGGCACTCAGCATCTGAAATGGAGATTTGTACAAGTCTATGTACAGTAAATATTATAGGAATGTCACCTTTCTTCCCTGACCTTGTTCTCATTAAATCTGCATATAGCTAACTCACCTCCCACACAGTCAAATTAGAAGATTGCCTCTGAAAAGTATAGCCTCAGAGAAATCCTGACAGTTGGACAGTCTCCAAAGAAAAGGCCAGGTAATCACTGTGGCAGAAATCCTACCTATGACAACCATGCAACAATCTGCTTTTTAATGCCTCACTTTTAAATATTATATTGACAGCCAAAGACCATCAGTCAAGGAAATCTAAATGAAAGAGAATAATTCCCTGAAATTTGATTTTACCTCCCAAGTAGTGTGTCTGCAGAGCTCAGGCTCTGTCCCCTCCACATGCTCCCCGCTTCCCCCAGGGAAGTAAGGGAGGAGTCTCTGACAGAGGGTTCTCTGATAAAAGCAGCCACTGACTCCAGTGTATCAATTCCCAAGTAGCTTGTCTTTAAAACTCCGTTCCCATAGGGCTGCCTTCTTTGAATCCAGGCTAGATCAGCTGAGAGCATCTCCTGTTTCATTTTGTGTTAAGTATAGGGCCAGAAAAAACAACAGCATCCTTCCACCCCCATCCCCGGCCGCGGGCCCTGCAGTACTGAGTCAAGCTAAGCTCAGGCTCTGCCACTGACCTTACACTCTCAGCTCCTGGAAAGCATTTCTTTCCTTAGAGTTTGCCCCCAACTTACTGAGACGTAGCTGTGTCACAACTCACGTACGCATTCGGCCCTCCGCCCTGCCCGCGGGGGAGCCTGGGCTCCGAGGGCCGCGCGGTTGCCGCCGGGGGTTATTCCGGAGCCGGGAGGGTGACGGCGGGTGGCCTGGGGTTGAGCGGCCTCCTCAGGGAGACAGGGCCAGCAGCGCCCGCCGGAGCCAACCATGCACCCGGAGCGGCGGGCCTGCGAGCCCGCCCTGCGCTCCGGAGACTTGACTTCCGCTGACACCCGCGAGCGGGTGGGCCAAAATGAAGTCCATCCTGCCATCCAAGCCGCCATAGACCTCACCTCGGGGGCCCTAGGGGGCGCAGCATGTGTACTGACCGGGCAGCCCTTTGATACTATGAAAGTGAAGATGCAGACTTTCCCCAGCCTGTACAAAGGCCTCACCGACTGTTTCCTGAAGACCTACAACCAAGCGGGCATCCGGGGCTTCTACCGGGGCACTAGCCCCGCGCTGGTAGCCTACGTCGCCCAGAGCTCTGTCCTTTTCATGTGCTACGGCTTCTGCCAACAGTTTGTCCGTAAAGTGGCTAGCCTGGACCAGAGCGCCCCGCTGAATGAACTGCAGACAGCAACGGCGGGGTCCTTGGCCTCTGCGTTTGCTGCGCTAGCCCTCTGCCCCACTGAGCTTGTGAAATGCCGGCTGCAGACCACGTATGAAATGAAGATGTCAGGGAAGATAACCAAAAGCTATAACACAATTTGGTCTGTTGTTAAGGGCATCCTTCTGAAGGATGGCCCATTAGGCTTCTACCATGGACTCTCCACCACTCTAGTTCAGGAAGTACCCGGCTATTTCTTCTTCTTTGGTGGCTATGAACTCAGTCGATCGTTTTTTGCATCAGGGAGACCAAAGAATGAACTAGGCCCTGTTCCTTTGATGTTAAGTGGAGGATTTGCTGGAATCTGCCTCTGGCTTATCATATTCCCAGTGGATTGTATTAAATCCAGAATTCAGGTTCTTTCTATGTTCGGAAAGCAGGCAGGATTTATACGAACTTTTTTGACTGTTGTGAGAAATGAAGGAGTATTAGCCCTATATTCTGGAATGAAAGCTACTATGATTCGAGCCATCCCTTCCAACGCTGCATTATTTTTGGCCTATGAATACAGCAGGAAGATGATGATGAGTGCATTGGAAACATACTGAAATGTCTTGGTGAACCCAGCATCCACACACTACAGTTCTTAGAGTTCAAAGAACACAAGACCAACATGGAGTTATTTTTGACTGTGGGAATTTTGATTTTGTCTTCCCTTCCTCTACTCTAAATCTAAACTGTATGGAAAAATCTTTATATAATATATTTTCTCCCCACAGTCATATTGAAATAGAAAACTTGATGCTCTTGCTTTTTGTGGGAACTACAGGGTGAGCCCAAAGTTCACCTTTGAGTATGTACTTAATCTCAAAGGTTATCAGGGCCTTTTCATAAACCTATATATATATTTATGTAGTGGTTATATATTGTGAATGAAACATAATTTGTTCCCTGTTAGTCTCAAATATCACTAAAACATCTAGAATTGATAATGTTTTATGAGGCTAGGTATAAAAAATTGTTTAACCCATTCAAGATATAGATTCAAAAATCATATAGATAATTTGGACCAGATGGAGGTCAGAAAGACTTTGCTACAGCTGTTATTCTTTTTATATATAGAAAGTGTTTTTAATTATGCATTCTGGGGTTATTTTTATCATTTCTTTGGGCCATGGTCAGGGTCATGGAAAGCCTTGTTTTACAGCTGTCTGGGGTTGCTAGTGAGTGGGGAAAATACCTAAGCAGGCACAAACTGGAGTCAGGACTGACCCAGGACAAGATGGTGTTTTTTTCAGCTACTTCAATAGCGGAATGTAAATCCTGTGAGAGGTTTCCAGTTTCCTTTTCCTTAGGTTATTTTACATGTTGCCATCTTTTGGTTGCCTGTTTTAGGATTCTAGACCTTAGCTTTACTCCCCAGTTCCCTTCCTTGGTTCAATATGGAACCTACAAAATTTATGTGGGACTGAGGATATGAAGGACCACTTTTCCTTCTTCCCGGTTCCTAGATGCAGGATAAAATTGCTAAAGTGGCTTCTATGCCACAAAAAGGGATTCTATAGAGAACTGATAAGGAGTCTACAGCCAAGCAAACCCAAACATGGCTGATCTTGTTTGATCTTAGGAGCTTAAGGTCAGGCCTAGTTAGTACTTGGATGGGAGAACTGTGAAGGAGAGGGCAGGATTTAAAGATAGGATGGATAGACTACACTGGATAAATGAGGCTGAAGGTACACGTCCCAGATGCATAATCCTGGGTATAGCTGTTAAAGAAGGTGATGCCTGACTCACAGTGAGAACTGAATCTGTATTTGTGATGGGGGAAACCCAAATTACAGGGGGACCAATTTCCTATTTGAAATGCTGACAGCCAATTCACAATGAGAACTGAAGATACCGCCAGAGGACAGATGTGTCTTTGGGGGAGCCAGGGCTCTTTCTTCCTCCTATTTTTTTTGACAGATCCCAAACCAGCTCTTTATGGCATTGGACACTCCCTTGGGATGCATCCTGGGAAGCCAGAATCAATTTGAACCTCAAACTTTAAAGAAAATTATTTAGTCTTCTTTTGCAGCACAATGTGATAATCAGCATTTCTTAGAAAAGAGAACTTCCTCATGTCCAGGCATTCTTCTTAAGAAACAGCCCCTACCTCTGGAAAGATTATTGAGATAATTTCTTCCTCTAGGGAAGTCTTATTTGCCACTTACACACTTCTTGTTGATTCAAAATTCAATGGGAAATAAAAATTAAGTACAATCTGGTCTTATAGAATGGAGACTAGTAGGCAATATAAAATTATACGTAAATATCAAGAGGTAGCCTTCCAACACCATGCCCTTGCTCTCATACAGCTTTTTCTTCTCTGGTTAAAAAAGGTATTCATAGCCAGGTGTGGTGGTATACCTTTAATTCCAATGGCTAAGAACACTGGCTGCTCTTGCAGAAGACCCAGGTTAAATTCCCAGCACCCACATGGTGCTAACAGCCATCCATAACTCCAATTCCAGGGGATCTGGTGCCCTCTTATGACCCCCGAGGGCTTTGTACAACACAGGTGCACTTAGAAACATGCAGGTAATACACTCATACACATAAAATAAAATAATAAATATTTTTAAAAAGAACTAAAGGAACAATGATTTTATGTTTCATCAAGATATTTACATTTTCTATTAATTTTGTCAGGTTTTTAGCCAGTTTGAAAAACTGGGTTTTAACAAAAACTTAAAAATCTGTTTGTGTCTATGCTTTATCTAAATTTTACCTAAAAGTTAAAACTAAAATCTATTACTACCTTTACAAGACTGGTGAAATGGTGTGTTTGATCATGAAAGTTTTGGCATCCACAGCCAAAGGGCATACTGAGGGCTGAAAGGATAGCTAGTAATTTGACCCCTGTCCTCAAAGGTCAGACAGAATGCAGGTGATGATGTGACCCCCTCAAAGGACACTATCACTCTGGCAAGTCACCTGTCCTATTGATCAGAAGGACCATGGATGTGTTAGAGGTTGGACTCAAAACCAGTGTATTTTCTACAAATAGAGGCGAATGCCCTCAGTGCCTCCAAGGGAAGCCACATGGTTAGCAAGACTCTGACCCATCTCTGCAGATGGTAAGTTCCCTTACAACTGGTAAGGGAAAAAATAAAAGGATTCAAGAGGCTCTTCTTAGTCCAGAAGAGTAACCCATAAGAAGTCTTGTCTGACTTCAACAATAAAGACAATGGTTAATTTTTGGCCACACCCAGTAGGAAAGTATAATGAGGAAAATAAAATGATTCATAACATTACAAACCAAAATTCTACTAGCTTCTGCTCAGGAGTCTCATCTTGACCTGCTTCAGCCTGGGAACCTGGCACAACTGAAGCCCTATAAGCACAGTCATTCAGATGACCAACTTCAGTCAATTTACATACCAATTTATTGTTTGTTTGTTTGTTGTTGTTGTTCTGAGACAGGCTCTCCCTGTAGCTCCAGCTGGCCTGAAACTGGTGGTGTAGGTGAGGCTGGTTTCAGTCTCATAGAGATTGACCTGACTCTGCCTCCTAAGTATTGGGATAAAAGGCATGTGCCACCATGCCCAGGCCCGTCAGTCAATTTTAAAAGGACAGTACTTCAGTGGCTGTCAAACTCCAGATTATTATTAACTGGACTCACCTATACTGAATAAATCTCTGTTTTTTAGAAAACCTGCAAAGTGAGAGGCATGAGAGCCCTGCTAGAGCAGTAAACCCACTAAAGATTCACACATTCTCTTTATAAAGGACCTGAAGGGTCAATTTCAGTTAACTAAATCTATGGACCTATGATCCACAGCTCCTGCCTTTAAAATTGTCATGAGAAGTGGTTTTATTTAGATTTATTTAAAAATTTTAATTATGTGCATGTGTGTATGTGCACATGTGTGAAGCATTGGATCCCTTGGAGGCTGAACTACAGGTGGTTGTGAGCTACCCCATTCCCAGAAGACCGAACCTGGGTCCTCTGCAAGAACAAGTGATGTTTACCACTGAACCATATCTCCAGCCCCATGAGAAGTGTCTTGATAACACTATGATCACCCTTACCTGTGCCCCGCCAGGTAAATCCTTTCTTGATTGCCATAAAGTCTTTTCAAGGCATGCTATTATTTTGTCAAAACTATTTCCAACTTTTGTCTGTCTCCATTATTTGTGGAAATGTCTCCGTCACACTGGGCCTGTCATATTCATCTCAATTAGTTTATTGCTCTGGTAAGGCTTGACCTTCACTTTATAACAATCTTCCAAATGTATCTCTTATCTTTCCCACAACTCTTGTACCACAGAGGGCCTCCCAGGGCATCACTGGGTAATAGAAACACACTAAATGAACATAGGTATACCTAACTTCTATTTTAACTCTCTCTTCCCTCACAGGGGCTTTCGGAAAAAATGAAACCCAAGTCCTTCGCCATCTCATGATATAACAGACATCTTCCTTCCCTGGTGGAGAGAATTTTTACTTCATGCCAGGTCTACTGCTCTGTTCTTTCTTTTCACTGCCAGTTTTCCCAGTTATTGAATGGCTATGGCCATTATTGGCCTTTCTTGGGCCTCCAGTAAGGTTTCCTATGCTGTTCTGTGTTTTTAATCCTTGACTTCTTTAGTGGGTGATCAAGTTTGTTTATTCTAGAATTTAACAGATTAAGTTTCAAATGGTTATGTGATAGATACTGACCTGCATGAGTTCCCGAGAAGTTATTCTTTATGCTGCATCAAATGGGACAAATCTTCTGTGCAGTATTCCAGTCAACAAAATAAGCTGTTACCTGTGTGTACAGGCTCTCATAGCCCCCTTTTTACTATTTTAATTTTGCTTTGTGTCTTTGGCCTTTCCTTTTTAAAAATATTTTTTATTGAGCTTTTGTAACTTCACACAACAGTTCTTAATCCAGTTTAGACCCCCCCACACCCATGCCTCCCTGATTGACCCCCCTGAACCTCATGTATTCAGCCATACACATTAAGACCTATTTGTTCAGGCATTTGTACACAAATGTTCAGTGTAAATAAGTCCACTGGAGTCTAGTCAGCCCATCTAGTGATTGTATGTAAGTCATATTCTCCCTCACCCAGCAGCAATTGGTCTCGAATATTTCTCAGTCTAGTGTTGGCCTGACACCTATTTCTCACCTCCCCTTTGGGCCTTTGTTTAATTGAGTTGACATGGGTCCTGTGCTCGATGCTACCATTGCCACAAGTTCACATGTGAAAAGCTTCCAGTGGCTTGGAAGCCTCTGTTTCCCAGTGTTCGTGAACCAGCCCTGGCTCTTACAATCTTTCTGCTCCCTCTTCTGAAATGGTCCCTGAGCTGTGGGTGGACGAGGTTCTGTATAGGAGTCCTATCCTATGCTCCACAGTGTCTTATTCTTTAAAACTTGGCCAGTTGTGGCCTTCTGTGTGTATCGCACTCTGTTGTATAAGGAAGCTTTACTGGTGAGAATTGAAGGATCCATTAGTTTTCTCTCTACCCCTTATTCCGCGGTGTTCCATGAACCTTAGTTGTAGAGATTCAACTGTAGATGTGTCACCTGGTACTCAGACTATGTTCTCTGTGTCTGACCAGGTGTGTAATTCTGCAGTAATTTTTGTTGTAAAA